ATAATAAAATAATAAAAAAAAATATTACTGAAAACTCTGAAGAACTTTAAGTGGTTTTAACATTATATCTGTTAATGTTTATCATATTTAAAATTAAATTTCTATGGAATTCTGTTACTCATTAAAATAACACACACATTGTATGTTAATATATCTTAACACTTCTTTTAAATGAAAAATTAACTTTTTTCCTTTAAATTTTTAATTGTGATTTTAACAAACTTTTACATAAAAGTTACATTTTCATTCATTTATTTTAACACATTTTCTTACCTTCCCCTCCTTTTAAAAGAGAAAATTTTTCTGAGAAGAGTCATTATTTATATTTTGCTGTGTCTTCATTGTCTGGTTTAATTGAAAACCACTGAGTTAACATGCCTGCATCTTCATTCAGTTCACATCATACATCATGTGTGGCCTTTGCAAAGCAGAACTGTAAGGCATTGAAAGTGCAAAATGCAAATGATGAGTTAGCAGTGTTATAAATATGGTTTTGACTTAAAAGACTTCCTAATTTTATTTAAATGAATAAATAGTTGATTCATCCTTTAAAGTCAGATATTTTAAAGCTAGAAATAACTTTATTTCATAATATTAAAAAATAGTTAACAGTGGGAATGTTATAATTTTTTCCCCCCAAGTGCACATTCCTTTCACTCAGTCTCTTATCTTCTATTAGTAAGAAATATATCAGTTTATAGTTACTACATCTGGTTTCTTCGTTTTCTAAATCAAATGAACAGAGGTAAAAATAGTTTTATACCAAGTATTCCTTCTCTTTTCCTCTTTTTTTTAATGTTGCTTTAACTTTTTAATAATTTTAACATATTCCATATTTATTGTTATATATCATGTTTTAGTCATCAGTGATTATGTACATTATGCACTGCATTAATTATATATTGCTTACATGGTAACAATTATTTACTTTTAAAGCATCAAAATTTTGAAGAGCAAATGCAAGGCATGAAAATTCAACTAATTCAGCTAAGTACTTTACTTCGATTGTTGGACAGTGGATTTTGCAGCTACTTAGGTAAGTAAATAAAAGAATAACTTGCAAATTGTAGAACAGTACACAGAAAAAACATAAGGTACCTCCTAAAGACCATATATATACAACTGCTGTTATCTTCCTGTTTTTCTGAGGAAGGAAAGTATGAGCTCAAACTGTCATATAACTATATTTTTTCTTATTTGATGAATTTTCAGAGCTATTAGCCTACATAATTTTATTTTTTAATTAATAAAATACCATTAAATATATAGAACTTATAATAGTTTTAGATGCATAGACAAATTCTGAGTTTAAGATAAGTCAGTGTATTCTGACATAATTAACATGAAGAGTATAAATGGTGTTTTTTTTCCTCCCCCTTCTATATAGAATCTCAGGACTCTGGATATCTTTATTTTTGCTTCAGATGGCTTTTAATCAGATTTAAAAGGGAATTTAGTTTTCTAGATATTCTTCGATTATGGGAGGTAAGTTCTTAAGTATATAATTTGATCATTACCATGAAAAATAGCCTCTGACGTTAAAATGGGTTGTTACAGTCTAACTAAAATTCCTGTGACAAATGTGTTCCAAAATTTGATTAATTTGTAGTCTCTTTAAGATTAGTGATCTTGATCAAAATATCTGGTCTTTTTTACGTCTTTTTCTACAAATCACAAGTCTCTCTGATTTGGTACCAAGAGGTGAATTCTAGAACTAATTTTCTAATACAGCTTGCTGCCTGTGGTCTTTCCTTAGAAGACTTGATGTGATTTATAGCCTTGCCACATTCTGGAGTAGGTTTGTGTCCAGATTTCAAGGATGTTTTTTGTTGGTTTTTTAAAAAAATTTTTTTTTATTGGGAAAAACATATTGGGGGTACAGGGAGGTGAGGGTTGGGGGCAGAAGGGTGAGGATGGGCCAGGATGCAGCTGCAGAGCTGCACAGTTTGTTCAGTGGAGGGAGCAGGTGAAGGAAATGATGAGGGTCCAGTGGGGACCAGATGCTATAGAGGAATGACAAGCATTTTCCAATGGTAATTAAACCAACTGTCTTATTGATTTGGGAATTTGATGCCAACTCTATGGCTTCTTCATGCTGAACAGGGGCGTAGATGTAAAGGGGGGAAGGGAAGACACTTTATCACCTTGCTGGTGGTCTTGGGTTAAAACTGCTTGCCTTCTTGCTCTGTTAGAAGATATTTTCCTGTCATTTGCTCCCCTCTGGACTGCAAAGTGTTTTCCCAGGTGGGTCCAGTGGGGATGGCTGGTTGAACCCAGAGGCTCCATCCTCCTTTGCTTCCTTAGCTGTCAGTTGTATTTCCTTTTTGTCACTGGCACTGAGTTCAGGGTCAGTTCTGGAGTAAAACTCAGTGTTAAGGTTACCTGTAGGAAAGGGAGCAAACCTAGAGAGAACAAACTTGTGAGTTACAAATAGAAGGGCTTTGAGGGTGTTGCTTACAGGTTTACTGGGGCGGGGGTAGGGTGGCAGAAGGTGGCCTAGGTAACATTGTCTGGATACCCTAGGCATTCTTTCCCCCCCCTTTCCCCACCCAGGGGTCAGATGGCACAATCTGGGGACTGAGGAGCTCACCCTGAGGGCCGCGACGGCTCACCCCGAGCCGAGGGCCAAGGGCAGCCCACGACGGCTCGCCCTGAGCTGGGGGCCGAGGGCAGCCTGCCCTGGGCAGAGGGCCGCGACAGCTCGCCCCGAGCTGGAGGCCGAGTGCAGCCCACCCCAGGCAGGGCAACACCCCCCAGGAGCTGGCTGGTATACTCCCTCTCCAGTTGCCCCTACCCCAGTCTGGTCCCCTCGCCTGACTGAGGACTCTGTGGTCAGGGATAGTGTTTCCAATACCAGCACTTCCACCTTTAACCCCCCCCCCCAAATAAGTGGTCATACTATATTTTGAAGTAGGTGTCACTGCCCTCCCCCTTTATATATGATAAAGGGAACCTGAGAATTGTGAACAGACTCCCCCAGGTCTAACCATCTTTTGGCAGAAGCATTCAACAGAACAAAGTATGTGGTGCATTTAGGATGTAGGTCCTCTTGTGCATGCTGCCACTGTTAAGGCCATCAGACTCACAGTGTCTTCCAGCAATCCATTGTATAGGTAATCGTCCTCTTTGGCCTGTCCAAGGAAACCCAAACCTTCAGATGGCGGGCATGCATCCCATCCCTCACCTCCTACGCAAGTGGCCAGTGGGGCGCCCGTCCCCCCCCAGCATGGGCGGCCGTTGGGGGCGCGCCCCCCCACCCCGCCGCACGGGCGCTCAGCATGTGCGCGGCCCCTCTTGGGCGGGTGGCCGGCAGGCGCCCGCTTGCCCCTCAGCTGCCATCCTGGCTCCAAGAAATCTCCCCAGAATAAGTCCACCTTGCGGCAGTGTGGTGGCTTCGCTGTACCATTCTTGAGGAGGGCTGGTGGCCAGCATCCATCCTGGGTGAGGGAATCCATTCATTCCAGCTGTGGAAGCCTCATGGAGCTGCAGCAGCTGTGCGGCGCATCACGAGGGTTTGGGAGCCACAGGAGTCACCCATTTCTCCTTGGGAATCCTTGAATTCCTGTTGTTGAGCCTCGATCTTCACTGAGGGCCAGTCATCAACTGTTTAAGTGTTCAATTATCAATAAGCTGAAGTCTGTGGAAGGCCATAATGGCCCAGCTTTAAGTGGTTCGCTACTCCCGCAGCTCACCATGCTGTCTCTGCCTCCGCCGCCATCTTGGATCTTTTTTACATAGATAGGATAGTCAGTTGAGATAACACTTAACTAGTTTAGAGTCTGAGGCACTGAGTGTAAGCTGAGCTGTGTTTTACTAATTAACAGACATTTAAGTTAGAGCAAAATACTGAGAATCATAAACATATGATTCAGTTTTTATATATAGCAACATTTCACCATATATGTTTATTTTTTTAAAATCAGTGGTATAGCTAATATATTCTTGAATCACCACTTTAATTCCATTTTGCTCTCTCCACTCTGTTAATCTTTTTGTTTATTTTTGGTATAAATGCCTAAGTTCTGTTCTGCAGCCAGGTCAACTCTTAATAAAAAAACAAATTTACTTTCTTCTCAAGCATCAGTTAATTGTTAGGATATAATGATTAATTTATGTTTTTAAATTACAGCAGAAATTCTCCCAAAGGAAGGGTAGATAGATGATAAACAGACTTATTTACTCAGTGCCTGCTGAGGCTTTTATACCTAGAAATTGATTCTCCCTTGAACTGTTAAGGACTGTAATGTCATTAGAGAAGGACCTTTTACTCACATGCTCCTCTGTCCTAAATTAGAAGTAAAACTCACATTTTGTACTTAGAATATTTTCATGTTGATCAATTTTGTTATGTTAGTACTTCAATTTCTTTAAAGAATAGACTGAGAATGTTAATACTATATAGCTGCAAGAACTCCTTATTCTGTATTTATCAAATAAATCAGAAATATTATTGAAACGTTTAAGGTTAATTGCATTGTAATGGAATGTTCAAAAATTGGATTTGGTTTGAAAATCAATCACTTTGATTTACTATTTAAGAAATAAAAGCATTTTAGATGCGCTTTAGTAGTATTGTTTTAGCAACTCCTTTCACATTTTCAGAAAAGGTGTTTTTAGTCACTTTATTAGGGATCTGAGATTTGAGAATATTCTCTATACTTAAAAAGAAAAGGAAAGCTGCTGGCCAGATTTTTTTATGTCATTTTGGATGTCTGATTCACTATCACAACCAGGGATACTCCCTTCTGTTACATAAATGAAATAAAGATTTTGCATATTTTGAATATATTGGGCTTTGTTTGGATATTTTTAATTCTATGCACTATATAACTGAGTCTTTTTTAATTTCTAGAATTTAGAGGGGTTTCTTTTCCTTTTCCTCTAAGGACTGATGATGATTTAAAACTGAAAAACTAAAAGTTAAGAAAAATATTAAAACTACCTTTAGCCCTAGAACTATCCCATTTAATACTTTAAACTTAATCTCATGGAAATAGTTCTCTAATATGTTACCATATTGATTAGGCTTAATGATTTCCTATTTTTCATTATCTGAAGAGCCATTTAAAAAAAATTCATCCTATTCATATAATGTTAAACATGTTGTATTTTAGAATAGGGTTCTCTTACCCATCAGTTCTTAATTGAGAAAAACTGTGAACAGTCCAGCATAGGCAGCCTTTGTTCTGCACTAATGTCATGCAGAGTTCAGCATTGCATCTATGAGAAAAATAATTTTAAAATTGATAAAATTTACCAAATAGTTCTGGGTTTTTTTTATAGGTCATGTGGACTGAACTACCATGTAAAAATTTTCATCTTCTTCTCTGTTGTGCTATTCTGGAATCAGAAAAACATCAAATAATGGAAAAGCATTATGGCTTTAATGAAATACTTAAGGTAGCTATTCCTTTAATTTAAATTTTGATATTTTGCCTCTTATCTCTGTTTGGTATTATTGATACATGGAACATTCCCTTGTAGCCTTTTTGAATCTCTTGAATAACTTAAATTACCTCAATCGTTATTTAATGCTATAATCGACCCACTGAGAGTCAACTTATACAGATTGTTGTTGTTACATGCCGTCGAGTCGCTTGTGACTCATAGCGACCCTATGTACAACAGCCCTAAACTCCTCTCTGTCCTGTGCCAGTCGCACTGTCTCTGACATTCCCATCTCAAGTGACTGAATCAATCCACCTCATAGAGGGCCTTCTTCTCCTGCGCTGTCCCTCCACCCTCCCAAGCCTGATGTCCTTCTCCAAGGACCGGTCTCTCCTCACAACATGTCCAAAGTATGTTAGATGGAGCCTCAGAATCCTTGCCTGCAAGGAGCCACCCGGTTTAACCCTCTCCAGGACAAATCTGTTTGTTTTCCTAGCAGTCCATGGTATTCTCAATACTCTTCTCCAGCACCACAGCTCAAAGGCATCAATTCTCCTTCTATCCTCCTTGGTCATTGTCCAACTCTCTGATGCATAACAAGTGATTGTGAATACCATGGCCTGTATCAGATGCACCTTAGTCTCCAGAGAGACACCATTGCTTTTCAGTACTTTGGAGAGGTCCCTAACAGCAGACTTTCCTATGGCAATGCGCCTTTTAATTTCCTGGCTGCTGGTACCAAGACTGTTGATTACAGAGCCAAGCAAACTAAAGCTGTGTACAATCTCAATCTCTTCACCATCCATCCTGATGCTACCAGTTGGTCCAGTGGTGAGAATCTTTGTCTTCTTGACATTGAGCCTCAATCCATATTGTAGGCTGCAGTCCTTGAGCTTCTGCAGCAGGCACTTCAGTTCCTCTTCAGTTTCAGCGAGCAGGGTTATGTCATCCGCATAACGCAGATTGTTGATAGATCATCCACCAGTCTTGACCCCACATTTCTCCTCAACCATCTCAGGAACAGGTTTGAGGCCTTGAACACTAATGAGTGAAGATCAGACGAGTTGTGGGAGGATATCAAGGGTATCATCCAGGAAGAGTGCAAACGGTAATTGCAAAGACAGAAGAGGAAGAGAAGACCAAAATGGATGTCAGAAGAGACTCCAAAAATTGCACTGGAGCACAGAGAAGCCAAAGCACAAGGAAGAATTCAAGATACTAAAGAGTTGAATAGAAGATTTCAAAAGGCAGCACGGGATGACAAAGTAAAATATTACAATGAAATGTGCAAGGAGTTGGAGTCAGAAAATCAAAAGGGCCTAACTCGCTCAGCATATCTTAAGCTCAAGGAACTGAAGAACAAATTCAAACCTCGAGTTGCTATAATCAAGGATGCTTTCGGCAGAATATTAAATGATCCAGGAAGTATTAAAAGAAGATGGAAAGAATATACTGAATCACTATATGGAAAGAAATTGGCAGACACAGAAGAATTTCATGAAAAAACACACGAGAAAGAGCCTATGGTGATGAAAGAAGTTTCAGGCTGCTTTGAAGGAAATGGCAAAAAATAAGGCCCCAGGAATAGATGGTATACCATGTGACATATTTCGGCTACCAGACGCTGCCCTGGATGTGCTCACCAAGTTGTGCCAAGAAATCTGGAGAACAATCACTTGGCCAACTGACTGGAAGAGATCTACGTTTGTTCCCATTCCAAAGAAAGGTGACCCAACAGAGTGTGGAAACTTTAGAACAATCTCATTGATTTCACATGCAAGCAAGATTCTACTGAAGATTATCCAGAAATGACTGGTACAGCACATCAGAGAACTTCCAGAAGTCCAGGCTGGGTTTAGAAGGGGTCGTGGTACTAGGGATATTGTAGCTGATGTTAGATGGATCTTAGCTGAAAGCAGAGAATACCAGAAGAATGTCTATCTGTGTTTCATATACTATGCAAAGGCGTTTGACTGTGTGGATCATCACAAACTGTGGCTGACTCTAAGAAGAATGGGAATCCCAGAACACTTGATCATTGTAATGCGAACGCTATACTTGGACCAGGAGGCAGTCATCAGAGCAAAGTATGGGAACACTGCATGGTTCAAAATTGGGAAGGGTGTATGCCAGGATTGTGTCCTATGTCCATAGGTTTTCAACCTTTTCAACTCTTACATGTAGTTTATTTAAAAATAAAAAAAATTGTAGTTCCATGAGCTTGTTAGCTGTTCTTTATTAAAAAGTGGAAATAATCTGATAAAAGGTATTTTGAATTTCCTGGTTTTTTAAATATTATTTTAATATTGTTGTTTTAAGTGTTTTATCTTCTGCACCAGATGCTCTGCTGAAGAAGGAGGGGCAATCTCCTGTACCAGTCAGATCCAGTTTGATTGTACACAAGATATAATAATTTTTTTTTAAAAAAGTGTTTTATCTACAGTGAAATATAACTGGTTATACATTGTTTATATCTTGTTTTTCATTGCCATTGAACCGGAGCCAGCTCGTAGCTGATGCTCCAGTAAGTTCTCAGGGTTGTAAATAATCACATGGGAGGATATTGTCCATCTTTCTCCTGCAGAGTAGGTGGTACATTTGAACCAGGCTTTGAGTAGCAGTACAATTCCTTACCACTAAGCTATTAGAGCTCTGTATTGCTCTACTCTATAGTTACATAGTAGAACATAATAATACTTTGAGTTTCAGATTATAATTTTATTTTATTCATGCATTTTAGCATATCAATGAATTGTCCATGAAAATTGATGTGGAAGATATACTGTGCAAAGCAGAAGCAATTTCTCTACAGATGGTAAAATGCAAGGTATGTTGTTGGGTGTCATTTTCTTTAAGGCGACTAATACTCATCCTGGAAGCAACACATAGAAACCTTCCTGATCCTCCACCACTCTCACAAAATCCAGCATTTTGATAGTCATTGTGTCAGTCCCTTTTTGGCCAACCTTTCCAATTACAGGTGTCTTTTCCCAAGGACTAGCTTCGCCTTATAAAATGTACAAAGTGAGACTAGGTTTCACCAAATAGTTTTTTGGTGTTTTTTTTATTAATTTTGATGATAGTTTACAGAGACGTAGGGTTTCTAGTCATTCATTGTTGCAGTTTTCTCCCTGTCCACCCTCTGCCCCAATTCACTCTTCTCCTAGAAAAGAAAAAGAAAAACTCTTTCATTGTTACGTAATCCCTACCCCCAAGTCACTCCACTATGCAGCCTTCACTCTGGACTTCTGCAATTACAAGAATACCCATTCATATTGTCCTTTTTAAATAATTCTCTCCCTCATCTGTTTCAGTGCAGTATACATCATTCCGCCCCTTCTTTTCTATCTTCCTTCAACCCTGATGTCAGTCCTGTTTTACAACAGTGGCCCTGTGCAATATTTGTCCTTTTGTTACTGAGCTATTTAACTCAGCGTAATGTCCTCCACGGTCATCCATTTTGCATAATATTTCGTGAGTTTCTTGATTTTCAGTGATGCATAGTATTCCATTGTGCGAATATACCAGAGCTTCTCTATCCATTTGTTTGTTGATGGGCACGTGGGTTGTTTCCAGCTCTTTTGTGAACAAAGCTGCAATAAACATGGGTGTGCATATATCTTCTTGGATGACAGTTAAAGGTTTCTTTAAGGTCACTCAATAGTCTTTTAAGTAGTTAAAAGGTTTCTGTGTGCTTGTTTTTATGGTTTGTTTATTTTAAATTATGATCTTGAAAGATTTTTCTTCTGAAAAGTAAAATAAATGAGGAAGTTATATAATAGACTTAATAGGACTTAATTGAAAACAGTTGATGTTCATTTGCCAGCTAGGAAGAATCTAAAAATTAGGGAAAATGGTAAAAGTAATGAAACAATTTTTAAGGCAACTGTGGTAACTATGGAATTTTTTTCCATATTTTTATTGGTTTGCGTACAATCATTCCTATACATTATGTTTTATGCATGTACACTATATTTCATACAATCTTTGATTTACATTTTGTTTTGTTCATATACAGTATGCTTTATACAATCATTCATGCCCATCATTACCTGTCTTTTTAAGTCCCCACTGAATCTTTCCTATTCCTTCTCCACCCACTCACTAAGCTCTGCTTTCCTAGTGATTTCTCTCCTTCCCCCTTTTCCACGCCTTTCTCCATTTCCCTATCCCCTTCTCCTTTTGAACATTTATACACATCTTGCTCAGTTTAACATCTTGCTCTTTTAACAAAAATGGTCTTAATATAGCATTTACCCTCATGAAACTCAGTTATTTCACTCATTTAATACTCTCTAGACTCTGCCATGTTACATAATATTTTACAAAATTAATGTTCCTTAGTATTGCATAGTATTCCATTGTGTGAATGTACCACAGTTTCTCAGTCCATTCACTTGTTGATGGGTTCTTTCCATTTTCTTGCTATTGTGAATAATGTTGGTATGTTGTTGTTGTTGTTGTTACGTGCCATCGAGTCGCTTGTGACTCATAGCGACCCTATGTACAACATCCCTAAACTCTTGCTCTGTTCTTTGCCAATTGGACCATCTCCGACACTCCCATCCCGATTATCCCAGTCACTGAATCAGTCCA